GAGGCAACATGGTGCAATGGATATGGAGTCAAATTTGAGTTTGGTCCTGAATCTGTAACTTATAGCAAGATATTAGGCAAATCACATAACCTATTTTTTTGTTTCTGTCTTCTTTCTCCTCATTAATAAGGAATACATTTCAGTTAATAAAATGATAGTGCCTCATTTTATGCCTAGCACATGTGATAGATACTTAACACAGAATTACTCCTACATACCTCACCTTATGTCCTTTTCAGGAAAATGTCTATGCAATACTCAGGGCTCATTTCATTACAACTGACAGAAAAACAGCTTAAACTAGATTAGGCAAAACAAAGGACTTCATTGGTTCATGTAACTGAAAAAACCAAGGGGGGTATTTCCCTTTAGCACCCAGGGATTCATGGTGTGTGTGCTCTCTATCTCTCAGTAGGCTAACCGCACATGAGGAGTCTTTTATGATTACTACAACAGAAAAGGCAAGATTGTAATTAGGATCCCTTCACGTCTGCATTCCCAAGCTTTGGAGAAGCTGCTGGTTAATAGTCATTCCTTTGATCTTCGTCCATCAGTGGTAAATTATTTCTACCAAGAAATAAGTTTCTTATGGTACTGCTTATCCCCATTCAATACACATAAAATGGGTGCTACACACACAAAAAAAGATGAGGGTGTTTATCAGAGGAAAGGGAGGGGGATGGAAGAAACAACTGATGATCACTTTAGGGGGTTTTCTATATAGCTCTGATCCTTTGGAATTTAGCTTAGTTTCAGAGAAAAGGAAATCATCACCTATTGAATATCTTCAGTTTTAAAAAGATTTCCCTGTGAGTTACTCAATAAATATTTGAATAAACAAATGACTTAACTTCAAAGTCTGTAGGGCCCAAAAGCATACTGCAGTTTCAGTGAACCCAAGCCCTAATAGAAAAAGGATGATCTGAACTGGAGTGGCACAGCATGACCAGTGCTCTTATCCCTGAAGTCCTATCTCTCCTTTGAGGTATGGCCCAGGTCCTGTAAAAAATAAAGCCCCAATGAAGTCTAAATAGTCAGGCTACAGAAAGTTTTGTTTTGTTTTGTTTTGAGATGGAGTCTCACTGTGTCACCAGGCTGGAGTGCAGTGGCCCAATCTCGGCTCACTGCAAACTCCGCCTCCCGGATTCAAGCGATTCTCCTGCCTCAGCCTCCCGAGTAGCTGGGACTACAGGCACTCACCACCATGCCCAGCTAATTTTTGTATTTTTAGTAGATATGAGGTTTCACCATGTTGACTGGGATGGTCTCAATCTCTTGACCTCATGATCTGCCCACCTTGGCCTCCCAAAGTGCTGGGATTATAGGTGTGAGCCACCGCACCCGACCCGTACAGCAAGTTCTTTAACAATAACCTTCTCTGATGCAAGCTCTTTCCATAATGGACTTAACACTTTGATGTCACTTTGGCCATGTTCCACAGCAGGAAAAAGCTAAAGCTAAAGAAGTCTAAAATGAACTGTGATAATATGCAAAATGCTAAGCTCAGCATCTGGTATATAGTAAGGGCTCAATAAACAGTACACTTTAGTTTGTTCTTGTACAAACCTAGAGAAGTATTATAATTTACTGTCAGCAAGATATTTGCTTTTATGACATCACAGCCAGAGCTGGCTATAAACTGTATCTTTGCTCTCATCATCTGTCAGTGTCTTTCTCTTGTAGAGACATTCTTAGGAACAAAATTCTCACCACTAATTCTTATTTTGGTGCAGCACTACATCCACCCAGAGTCACCCACTAAGTCAGCATAGTAAGAAAACATTTTATTTTTTCATTTATTTTTATTTTATTTATTTATTTTTTTGAGACCAAGGCTCGCTCTGACACCCCAGCCGGAGTGCAGTGGTGTGATCTGGTACAGGCGCCCGCCACTATGCCCAGCTAGTTTTTTGTATTTTTAGTAGAGACGGGGTTTCACCATGTTAGCCAGGATGGTCTTGATCTCCTAACCTCTTGATCCGCCTGCCTCAGCCTCCCAAATTGCTGGGATTACAGGCATGAGCCACTGCACCCAACCTTATTTATTTTTTTGAGATGGAGTCTTGCTTTGTCGCCCAGACTGGAGTGAAGTGGCACAATCTCGGCTCACTGCAACCTCCACCAAGAATTCACTTTATTTTCATATTTTTAGTCTTCTTTTCTCTTGACAGTGCTTTGAAAACTTTCTTTTTAATGTAAAAAAGACTTAGATATGTAGGATTACATCTAGACTCTTGGCTTGTACAGCTACTCTTTAAATCTAACATCATTTTGGATAAATTTTTGGAATCCAATTCACATATATACCTCCTAGTTCCATACTGGACTTGCCTTTTGTTGAGCCTCCAAAATATCTACCTGTGTGTGAATGATTTTCCCACAGTCTCTCCATATGTTAGCCCAGATGCCTGATTCATTCTTGATCCCTTTGTTGTCTAAATTTTGGAAATGAAAAGTTCTGTAACAGTTCCCATCATCAATCAATTTGTCAACAGTATACCTCTATCCCCTGGAAACAAATTAATATGACACATGCACAAATAGCACAGCACTAGACGTAGGAAGGTGGAGGCAATCCACATATTCTTCATAACCCTTTGGTGAATTCAGGCTTGTGGTTAGCAGGGATCTACACCAAACAGTCTCAGATCCTCCTTCAAGGAACGACTCACTGCCCAGATGCTGGGAGGGTGCTTAGCAGAGAGCCTCCAGCTGTTAGTTCCTTCAGGCCTTGCATCAACTTCAGAGAGCCTCTGCTCAAGGCCATGTTCTTCCCAGAGCCACCTGCATTTGGCCCAATGCAGGACACTCTTATGGTCAATACTTGCTCCAGAGCTCCCTGTCAGCTTTTTAAGACATTCTCAGACTTGTGTCAATGCTTGCCTTCATTCTCTGTCCAGTTCTGCTTTCTTTCTCTTCCTTTCTCAGGTGTTGATGCCTAATAAATGTTTATCAGCCCAAACTCTGTCTTAATGTCTGCTTCCATTGACCTAACTATGGCTTACCTTAATTCTCTTAACCACCTGATCAAAGCATCACATTCAAATAATCCCTGTAATTTTTAATAACAGGTATGTTTTATGTAATTCTGTTATTTTAAAAAGAGTGATTTAATAGGTCTTATAGCATTTGCTATATTGGAATTGTATCCATATTTGGGAGTAGGATATCTGTATTATAAATCAATACTAATATTTTTCAGCATAGAGATCCTTAAAAAATAAAGCATATGGGATAATACAACTGACACTCGGTATTTGTGTACTGTGTGATATGAAACAAAGTAATATTCAAGCCTTGGATGTGTCTTTTTAGTGATGATTAGAAACACAAATTCATTCTCATAATCAACATATGATATTTCAGTCAAATGTCTTAAGTGCCATAACTGCAAAGGAAAGCACAAATGTCTTTTAGTTATAGCACACATATTTTAGTAATGATTTTTTTTCCAGATATTACCCCAGAGCAACATATGTTTTCTGCAAAAACTCTTATCAATCTTTTCCATTTTTTAGTAATGAATACGGAAGTGATTATGTTAAAGTTGAACAGTTTAGCCTGTTATTAAGTAATGTAAGCCAAGATCCATTATAAGAAACATAACTACAGTAAATAAAAATCTCTAATCAGGAAAAAATGGTTTCCAAGCCATGGATTATCCATTTTATGAAAAAATAATTTATCATTAAGGAAAAACATTCTAGAGACCACAGGTTTGGCCACCTAAGAATTTGACAACCTTTCAGCTTTTTAATTTGTTTCTTCACATTATTTAGTCTCTGCAATTTTTCTATATTGGCTCTGATAGTGCTTTTAAAGATTTGGCTAATTATTATGACCCCAGTTGGTAATAATAATTATAAAGGAACAGCGCTAAAATTTATATGAAGTTTTGCAGTTTATATTTTCACAAATATTACCTCATTTGTAATATGTTCTTAGCTTGGCTCAACACAACATTTATGCAAGGAAGTGATAAAAATGTTTTTTACATTTATATCATTTTTCTAGATTATACTTCCCTGTTTTCTTCCCAGAGTTACTATGGCACTTGTTAAAGCCACAGTTTATTATTTCTTTTAATTATTTACTAACTGGCATTGCAACTTAAAGGATGCATTGAGTTTTCTCGCCCAGGTAAGCCTAAGAGAGGTAGAAACTCTGTTATTGGAGACAAAGACAGTGCCTTATATTTATTTTGTGCTTACTTATTACCATGTGCATTGTAGAAACTCAAACTACATTTTCACCTTCTTTCTTAACCCAACTTTCTACTGTTTTATCAGAATGCTCTGCTGGGCACTTCCTATATGATGATTCTTCATGCTCTTCCCCATAGTTGCCCTATTATGTCACTGATCCAATTCTTCCATGCAATGCTGACATTTAGTGTAGTGAATATTGACTGTCCACAGCATGGCGGAGCCAAGAGCAAACTATGGTGTCAAAAACACCTTGCTTTCTATTCACAATAGCAAAGACATGGAATCAACCCAAATGCCCACAAATGATAGACTGGATAAAGAAAATGTGGTACACATACACCATGGAATACTATGCAGCTATAAAAAGGAACAAGATCATGTCCTTTGCAGGAACATGGATGGAGCTGGAAGTCATTATTCTCAGCAAACTAATGCAGGAACAGAAACCAAACACTGCATTTTCTCACCTATAAGTGGGAGAAAACAAAACACCGCATGTCCTCACTTATAAGTGGGACCTGAACCATGTGAACACGTAGACACAGAGAGAGGAACAACACACACTGGGGCCTGTCGAGGGGATGCTGGGGGAGGGGGAGCATCAGGCAAAAAAAAAGGTATGCTGGGCTTAATATCTAGGTGATGGGTTGATAGCTACAGCAAGTCATCATAGCACACGTTTACCTGTGTAACAAATGTGCACATCTTGCATATGTACCCTGGAACTTAAAAATAAAAAATAAAACTGTGTAGCACTTATCCCTTCTCTCTCTTTCTCCTTGACATGTGAAGTCCTGGCTCCTCCATCATCTTCTGCCATGACTGTCAGTTCCCTGAGGCCTCCCCGGAAGCTGATGCCACCATACTTCTTGTACAGCCAGAGGAACTGTGAGTCATTTAAATTTCTTCTCTTATTGAAAAAAAAAACCAAAAACCCTGTGTTTGCCATCTTCTTGAGTACTAAATGTAAACAAATGAATAAATTCATTATTTATAAATTTTGATATTATACTATTAAAGATATTAAATATATTATTAAAGATAAATATATCAAAAATGTAATGACATTTTAAAGAAAAAAAATCCACAAAGTTTCCTCCACCTGTGGATTTATTACATTTGGTGAGTGATTTTTTTGGGACATGATTTCAACCGACTTAAGACAGAGGAATATTCAGGAAAATCAAGGTTATATCTAGAGACTGAAATCGATGTCCCTTAAAATGTGCGTAATGTGCAATGTAAGCAGGAATGATGAATCCTCCCAAGTGACATATCATTAGCTGTCCTTAGCATCTGAGATGAAAGTTCCTCTGGGGGGTCTAGGATCTCCTAAACATTAACTGCCATTAGGATTCTTTGTTTCTGTACCTTAATCCCACTTTCTTTTTTTATTTTCCTTCTTACTTATGCCCTCTAGAACTCCTATTTCACAGTAAACAAAATAAAACAAAACTATAGAGTCTTAAATTCTTAATGATGCATTCTTCTCAACTTCTGTATTTAAATCAGCATAGCATGCTTCAAAAGACCTCTGCAACCCAAGCTGTCTTCTTTCCTAAAAAGCAGCTCTTTTACCGCCCATGGTATGAAGAAGAGACTATTCATGGACTGAATGTTTGTGTCCTCCCTGAATTCATATGTTGATATTCTAGTCCCCAGCGTGATGGTGTTAGGAGGTGAGGCCTTGGGGAGTTAATTTGATTACAAGGGCTCCACTCTTGTGGGATTATTGAATTTATAAGTGGAATGGGATTAGTGCACTTATAAGTAGAGACATGAGAGAGCTTGCTTCCTTTCTCTGCCATCTGTTGTGTAAGACTAGAACAAGATGATGGCCATTTGCAAATAAGAAGAGGGGCCTCACCAGGCACTGGATCTGCTGGCATCTTGATGCTGGATTGCCCAGCCTCAAGAGTTACGGGAAATAAATTTTCTTATGCCATTGGTCTATGAGAATTTGTTATAGCAGCCTGAACTAAGACAGAGGCCAATTTTTTTCTTCTTCAAGATGGTTTCTAGACAATTATTCCTCCATCTTCATGTGGCACACAACCTATTTTTTTGACACTCATGCCACCAGTCATTTCTTAATCAAAGTCTTGAGCACCTTCCCAGCAGTCTTTCTCATCACCCCAATTTCCATCATTTCCTAAATCATTCAATTACTTCAATCTGTGTCAGTGACTCTCTCCACACTCTGGCCTTTCAGTTCCTTGACCTCTTTGTATTCAATGACCTTCTTCTTAATTTCATTTCAGCCAATTACTCTCATGGTCACAGATTGTGACCTGGATCCATGATTGCTCAGAAGTTCTTCACCTATGAAATTATGAATGGTAAAAATCCGTTACTTTCCTCTCTGACATCAGCCACCTCTCCATTCAGTGTTCTCATTCAACTACTCCAAATATCTTGCGTCTTCTCAGAATCTCCAATACGTTGATATTTGCTCTCCCTCCGTATACTTTAGCACCTTTCTGTTTTCACTTTCTTCCCTCTGTGGTTTAAAATGCAAGATTCTTATATTAATTATGATGTTGGATGCATTCAATTTATATTTCCAGATTTATTATGTATGCTTTTCTGTCTTTCTCTAATCTTTTGACTTCATCAACCAAATAAAAGATAACTGAAAATACCAGTAAAAAGGATGGTGATAAAAATTATTTAATGATAGAAATGTTTTTTAAACATGAAATTTAGAGAGACAGAAAAGAACAGAAGCATTATATAGCCTGAAAATTAAGAAATTATAACAACTAAAAAAAAAGCAGAGGGAAAGAGGAAAAGACATTGGACACAATAAATTTGCCTATGTCTCATCTGTAATAGTTGTGTGCAAAGTAATACAATTTAAAGCCAACAAATCAAGTAATAAGTATACAAGTATATTTAACTGTACAAAATCAAACAGAAAAAAAAATTATTGACTAACAATATTATTGATCACATTTGTACACAAAAAGACAGTTGGCCTATGTACCAGAGTAGAAAGTTTAGAAATAAACCCAAATTCATACCAGAATTCACTGCAACATAAGAGTGGATTCTCAAATTACTGGAGAAAAAAACAGAGCGTCTGTATTAGTCCATTTTCACACTTCTATAAAGAAATATCCAAGACTGGGTAATTTATTTATTTTTAATTTTTTTCAGTGTGTCTTTTTAAAATTATTATTATACTTTAAGTTCTAGGGTACATGTGCACAACGTGCAGGTTTGTTACATACGTATACATGTGCCATGTTGGTTTGCTGCACCCATTAACTCATCATTTACACTAGGTATTTCTCCTAATGCTATTCCTCCCCAGCCCCCCACCCCCCGACAGGCCCTGGTGTGTGATGTTCCCCACCCTGTGTCCAAGTGTTCTCATTGTTCAGTTCTCACCTATGAGTGAGAACATGCAGTGTTTGGTTTTCTGTCCTTGTGAGAGTTTGCTGAGAATGATGGTTTCCAGCTTCATCTGTGTCCCTGTAAAGGACATGAACTCATCATTTTTTATGGCTGCATAATATTCCATGGTGTATATGTGCCACAATGTTTTAATCCAGTCTGTCATTGATAGACATTTGGGTTGGTTCCAAGACTTTGCTATTGTGAATAGTGCCATAATAAACATACATGTGTATGTGTCTTTATAGCAGCATGATTTATAATCCTCTGGGTATATACCCAGTAATGGGATGGCTGGGTCATATGGTATTTCTAGTTCCAGATCCTTGAGGAATTGCCACACTGTCTTCTACAATGGTTGAACTAATTTACACTCCCACCAACAGTGTAAAAGTGTTCTTGTTTCTCTACATCCTTTCCAGCATTTGTTGTTTCCTGACTTTTTAATGCTCGCCATTCTAACTGGTGTGAGATGGTATCTCATTACGCTTTTGATTTGCATTTCTCTGATGACCAAGACTGAGTAATTTAAAAAGGAAGAGGTTTAATTGACTCAGTTCCACATGGTTGGGAAGGCGTCAGGAAACTTACAATTATAGTGGAAGGTGAAGGGGAAGCAAGCACCTTCTTCACAAGTCAGCAGGAGAGAGAAAGTGTGTGTGAAGGGGGAACTGTCAAACACTTATAAAACCATCCAATCTCATGAGAACTCACTCCCTATCGTGAGAACAGCATGGGAAAAACTGCCTCCATAATCCAATTACTTCCTAGGCTCCATATGTGGGGATTACAGGTCCCTCCCTTGTCACATGGGAATAACAATTCAAGATAAGATTTGGGTGAGGACACAGAGCCAAACCACATCAGCATTCAATAAATGTTATCAGGGCAAGTGGACAGTTTTCCAGATCAATGAATTACTTTGTACACCAGGATATAATCCAATTGAATTAAATGTTTAAATGCTTTTTCAAAAAGACATTACTAAAACTAAAAAAACCAGATATTATAAGAGAAAAGATTAATACATTCTACTAATGTTTAAATAAAGTATTTTAATTTTTAAGTAAAAATTTCTGCATGTCAAAAATACCAGAGAAAATCAAAGGCAATTAACATGGTAAAAATAATTACAACTTATGTAACAAAGGGCTAATATCTGTAACATTGAGAAACTGAGAAGAAAATGGTCAAAAACCCAAGAGAGAAATGGACAAAGTATATGATTCACAGTTCACAGAAAAAACATAAAAATCATTCTTAAAAATGAAGGATACCCCACTTCATTCCGCAAGCAATGGAAGTTACAACTACACTGGTATACATTTCCTCTCTCATCAAAATGGCAAAAATCCAAATATGTGATTATACTACATGTGGTAAGACTCTAGGGGAAAAGCTACTTTCATACACTGTGTTCAGAATTTTAATTATTATCACTCCTATGGAGGGCATCCTTGTACTCTATCATAATTACAAATGCACATACGCTTTGTCCTAAGAAATCAACTTTTTGAAATTAACTTTATGGTTATTTCCACACATGTAATAGATGAATGTATAAGGTTATTCACTTTACATTGTTTGTGATGGTAAAAATTAGAAACAATGTAAAGGTGCATCAATAGGAAATTCAGTAAATAATTAATAGAGCCATTAAAGATGGAGGAAACACTTCGTACTGATGAGCTAGATATCCTCTCTTTGTCCTTCTAATCCAGGAGTTGAAAAATTACAACTTGAAAGTCAAATCTGATCAATTTCTTGATTTCATAAACAAAGGTTTATTGGAACAAAGCAGAGTTGAATGCTTGTAATAGAAACAATATGGCTCCCAAAGACTCAAATATTTACCATCTGGTCCTTTACAAAAATATCTCTTGGTCCCTATCTGATTTACTTTCAATTTTTCTCTACCCTGTTTTCTACTCCTGAATGTCCACGTCTATGCACTGCATCCTGAGCTCTCTTGCTTCTGGTTTCCTGTGGAGTTCAAGCCACTGAGTGGCACCAGCAGCAAACCAAAGAGTTGAAAGAGAGATAAGCTGATCCCTCCATTTTGGGCTATGGTGTAACAATGATTTTATTCCTCTACTTAAGGTCACAGCTTTTCATGCGACTTTTCAGGAATGGGGTCTGTGTGGGGAGTAGTCAACTTAAAAGACAGCAGAGAGAAGAGAGGAATAGTGTAGAAGATATTTCACTGTAGTTTTTAATAGACTTTATTTTTTGGGGAAGTTTTAGGTTCACAGAAAAATTGAATGGAATGTATAGACTTCCCATATGCCCAATGATTTTACACATGCACAAGTTCCTTCACTATCAATATCTTGAATCAAAATGGCATATATGTTACAACTGATGAATCTACACTGGCACATCAGCATTACCCAAAGTCCATAATTTACATTAGGGTTTACTCTTAATGTTGTATATTTGTTTCCTTGGATTTTAAAAATACTTGTTAAACCACAAGAATATAACACCTT